ATTCAGAAATTCAGAAATTCTGAAATTTAGAAATTTAGAAATTTAGAAATTCAGAAATTTAGAAATTTAGAAATTTAGAAATTCAGAAATTTAGAAATTTAGAAATTCAGAAATTTAGAAATTTAGAAATTTAGAAATTCAGAAATTCGTAATTTCAAAAAATTTACTGTTTTTGATTTTTAAACTTTTCTCATTTTTCAGTCAGGTTTTTTTCGCGAAGGTAAAAAAACAATATAAAATTTTCAGAACATAAAAAGAATTGGAAAATGTTGATTTTTGAGCTCGCAAAACATAATGTATAGGCTGACTAACAAATAGAAAAATTGTAATTTGTTCAAAAAAAATTCAGAAACAGTAATTTTAAAAATCCATAAAATATTGAATAATTCCAGTATTGGTATTGTATTGACTGAAAATGCCAAATAACTATCAGGCTGTTCGACAGGTTAGTTTACTTTGTCTATTTTTTGTCGTAAAATGTACTTTTTCCTTATGTATCAATTATTGATTTTTCCTAAAAAAAAGACTAATAAGATGACACCTCAACTTTGTTCTAATTTAACTCGCTTCCTGTAAAAGATATCAAAAAGTGGTCAATTGATAAAACATTTTTGATGTTATGATGAACATTTTGTCAGTTGACCACTTTCTGATATCTTCCACAGGAAATGAGATATGTGAGCTTAAAGTTGCCAGTATTCCATAATAACATCAATTCTGAAAGTAGAAAACCTGTTCGTTTCTTCATTTTTTTTTCTGGAAACTACTTACAAAGATTACTGTACCTATTTTTATTTAAAATACTCCTTATTAAGGAGTCTTTCAGTTCTCTGAATTTCTAAATTTTGGACTATTTTAAAACATGGAAAAAGGATTATTGTACTTCTTCATACCCCCGCAATAAATGTCACAAAACATTTTACGACCACTATTCACTCCTTTTATTGACCCAACTTCAGTCTACAGGTCATAAAATCAAGGGATCGTAAGATTAGGGAAAATGATATTTTTAGTGCACTTTTATGAAGGAAGATTTGAATTCAAATCGCCTGCACTGTACTTTAGGTGTACAGTAACTTCTGCTGTGTAAATACGTAGCTGAGTACAGTAATCCAATTTCAAAGAAATCTACAAAATGATTACGGTAGGCGTCAAGTTTGTAGGTACAGTAGTCTAAAACTTAGAAATAGTCAAATTGGACCAAAAAATGTTCACTGTTTCAAACTTTCAATATTTTTCAAAATTAGTTTTTTGGGTGATTCTACATCTGAGCCTACATATGCCAATAATCCACACTTGCTAATATACAGTAATCTTTGAAAAAGCGATGCAACTGTAAAAACTGATTTTTATCCTGTCATCTAACTAATGATTCAATATTTGATATATTTTTTTGTAATTTCTGAAAACAGCAAAAAAATTTTTATGTTTCAAAAATGTGTATCCTCAGCATTGTAAGACGCATAACTCGCTTCAAATTTAGAGTTTTGGTTTGAATCAAATATTGAAATGTAGAACTCAACAAGATCTACAAAATGATACTAAGTTTGACTGTATCTATTTTTAAATGCTGCATTTTTGAGTAACCTACTACCTGGTCGTCGAAGTTAGCCTCTTGGCACTTTCAGGATCTCTAGCTCAAATCTCGGGATTCATATATAGTCAAATGTAGTATTATTTTGTAGATCTCTGTTTATTCTACATTTTCCTTTTTAATTCGAGAAGAAATTCTAAGATTGAAGCGAGTTATGCGCCTTTAAAGTATGTATGGTCAGAGAGATTTTTTGCTCAATGTGGTTTTTGTTGATCATTTGGAAAAAAATTATCTATTTTTTCTTTTTTAGCGGCAATAGTAGACTTCAGATCGTCTAAAAATTTTTTTTTGTGTTTCACAAAAATTTCGAAACAGCGATTTTCCGAACTTTCCTTCGATTCATCGAGATGGTTCAACAGCAATTATATTTCGATTTCAGAATTTTTTATACTTCAGACCCCCTCAATAAATGTCACATTAACATTTTACGACCGTCTTCACACCTTATATTAACCTGAGTCTACATCAAATAGTCTACAGGTTATAAAATCAAGTCAATAGGATCGTAAAATTAGGGAAAATGACATTTTTGTGCACTTTTATGAAGGGAGACTTGAATTCAAATCGTCTGAAGGGTACTGATAGCTAACAAGTACAGTAATCCACTTCAATAGTTACAGTAGGCGTAATGTTTGTAGGTACAGTAACCTAAAACTTAGAAATAGTCAAATTGAATCAAAAATTGTTTACTGTTCCCAACTTTCAATATTTTTCAAAATCAGTTTCTTGGGTGATTCAACGTCTGAGCCTATTTTTACAGTAATCCGCAATTGCTAAAATACAGTAATCTTTTAAAAACTGAAACTGTAAAAACTACTTTTCATCCTTTCAGCTAACGGATTCTTTAATATTCGATATATTTTTCTTGAAATTTTCAAAAACAGTGAAAATGTTTATATGCCTAGAATAGTTTTTGATAAAATCAATTAATCAGACATGAATATGTCAAAAATATTACTGTTTCAAATTTTTTGAATGATTGGAAGTTTACTTCTTTGATTATTGCGACAGACGAATCCTTTGGCAAATTGTTACTGACCAATTTGTGCCTGCCTTGTAAGACGCATAACTCGCTTCAAACTTGGAATTTCGGTTCAAATTAAAAATCAAAATGTAGCACTTGACAAGATCTACAAAATAGATTTAAATTCAATTGTTTCATTTTGCTGCAGTTAAGAGAAGAGGCCAGAAAACTATCGGGACGCTAAAATTTGCTGCTAGTAGCGCTGAGTCTTATAAGATCTGTGGCTCAAAACCTGGGAACCAAATATTCTCACATTTAATAGCGTTATGTATATCTCGTTGAGTT